ATTCAACTTTGTCATTCCCCTGTGTTTTTGACCTTTTAATTTATATTATTTCGTTCCTACTTCACAGCTACTGCTGGCAATCGTGTTATTTGTTGAAGAAGGTTTGTTTATTGAAATCACATTGTTTTCTAATCCATTGTTAGTTTATTGGTTTGAACTTGTATCATATATTGATATTGATAATTCTACAAGCCATTCTTTTTTACTAAGGGGTCGTTTGGAAGTTGCGAATGTTAAATCGTTGCATTGTGATGAATCACTATAATACAAATGCATGTATTGATACAATGGATGCATTTTAACAATACATTGTTTGGTTGTTGAGATTCTACTTTATGCATTAATTTACATAAAGTTACTTTTATGGGGAAATGTCATATTTACCCTCAACTTTTAGTATAAGACAAAAACTTTTAGGCATATAAATGGAAAGAAAAAGTTTACACAAATCTAAAAGCAACAATCTCAACTTTTAGTTGAGATTGTACAATGCATCATTTTTTGTGATTGTTGGTGGGACCTACCGAAAACAATGCATGCATTGTTTTACACTTTGGCACTTCCAAACATTGTATTGTGCACAATACATGTATTCAACAAACACAACTTTAACAATCACAACTTCCAAACGACCCCTAACTGTCACAAGGAAGACAGTGTTTCCACAAGATTCCTATTCATTGTTGCTATTTGTTTCTTTCGTTTTGGCTGGCTAGTTGATGTTCTCTTTTTTTCTTTCTTTTCAATAGCCGGTTCTATCGAAGAGTGGAAACCAAAGACTACGAACTCCACTGTAGCCCCTAACTGTCACAAGGAAGACAGTGTTTCCACAAGATTCCTATTCATTGTTGCTATTTGTTTCTTTCGTTTTGGCTGGCTAGTTGATGTTCTCTTTTTTTCTTTCTTTTCAATAGCCGGTTCTATCGAAGAGTGGAAACCAAAGACTACGAACTCCACTGTAGCCCAGGTTTTTTGGTATAGCTAGCTCGACGAAAGTTCCTAATGCACCAGTTGGATGTGTTCTTCAATCAGTTCCTCAATCACAGGCAGCTTCAGGAGGTGATACGGAAGATTTAACTTCTAACTTGTAGAAGTTGGAGTTGCGTCTTCACAGCAACAACATGTTATCATTCCAAACCATATCCATGTTCTGGAATCAGAGAAAACCAAGTTGAGCTTTGGAAGCTTTGATGCTAACTTTGGTGTAACCACAAGTTCTGCTAGTGGGCCAGAGAGTGAGATGCCTTGTCCGATGCAACACACAATTAGGGCTGAAATTTTGGATGACCCACCACGACCCTGACTGTCCCGTTCTTAAAGGGTCAAGGCACATAAGTGACTCGCTCCTGACCCTGTATGACCCTTTAAGGTCGGGGCGGGTCGGAAAGGGTTGGGTCAGTGGGTCGACCCTAATAAATATTCTAATTAATCACCAAAATTAATTAATTAGAAACTTAATCTCATAAATTATTTATTTATCAAATTAATTAATCACCAAAATTATTTCAAAAAATTATTCAATCACAAAAATAGTTCTAGAAAATTACTTAATCACCACAATAATTCCATAATTTTATTTATTTAACAAATTAATTCCAAAAATTAATTATTTACCAAATTAATTTAAACAAAAAATTACTTATTTACCAAATTAATTACAAAAAATTGCTTATTTACCAAAGTAATTCCAAAATATTAATCATTGACCAAAATAATTCCAAAATTTTATTTATTTACCAAATTAATCCCATAAAATTAATCAATCACCAAAAAATTATTATTTACCAAATTACTCCAATAAAATATGTGTTTGATGAAAGGGTGTAAAGACATAAAAGGTGTGATGGATAGGTCACCAATTCCGACAAAACATGATACCAATGGGCAACCATTTATTTAAAAGTCGAAATCACTACAAATCACTACAAAGTACAAATACATAGTTGATTACATAATACATTGTTGTTCAATCATCATCAACCAAATCACTCATGATAGTACCCTCATCCTAGCAAAACTCTTTCAACTCTGCAAAATTAACAACACACTAAACAAAATAATTATCTTTTTTATAAGAAAATTAATAATTATCTTAACAAATATTGAATGATAAAAAAAAATTATATTTCATACCTTGTTCAAGTTCTTCAATTTCTTCAAATTGCTCTTCCATGTCAATTGGAAGAGTACTCGATCGAAGCCAATTTTGACCACAAAACAAACTTTCAACAACCAAGGGAGTCAAAGAAAATGTATCTAAAACGCACTCCCCGGTACTGAAAGCAGACTCAGATGCAACAGTTGATACTGGAATCGCCAACACATCTCTAGCCATCAAACTCAGTATTGGATACTCACCAGAATGCTTCTTCCACCATGCTAAAATGTCAAATGTTTTGTCCTCATCATCCTCAAGATTCGCCTTTAAGTACTTCTCAAGCTCTGAAAGTGTAGTTTCTCCCACCCTATCTTCCATTCTTTTTCTCTTGAATTTTTTCTTCAAATAATCCTCCACACTTTCAGATTCATCATTCTCATTTGGTGCTATACTCCCCGCACTTCTTGATGAGCTTCCACTAGTAACCCCTCTCATTTACAAATAGTCCTTGAACATATCCTCCAAAACACCATTCACACTCTCAAACAACTCATTTTTAGTCCAAATTCCCCCATGTTCTATTCCATAAACCTCATCAAGCACAAAACAGGCATACTCCAACTTGTACCTTGGGTCAAGAACCACAACAATAAACAGTAAGGGATTGATGTCATCAAAGGTTCCCCAATACTTGTCATGCTTAGCTTTCATTCTTCTTGCCATGATTTTTTGACTCTCAATTTTTGATGAAGTTTCTTTTGTAAGCATACAAGCAATTCCATATACGACATGAAAGAGATAATTGCTTGTGACATACAAAGAACCTGAAATTTTCATTGTGGCATCATAGAAGATCTTCAAAAAAGGAACTAGAGACTCCACATAATGCCAATCCAACTCATTTAGTGTCCCTTTCAACTTCTCTAGCTCAACTTTATACTTACGATTTTCTTCCTCTAACCTCTCAAATGCCCTTTTAAATACCAAAGCGGAATCCAACATCAAGAAAGTGGAATTCCATCTAGTCTCCACGTCTAAACACACAAGTTTCTTGGTCTCTAACTTCTCCTCATGGGCACAAGTCTTAAATCTTTGCATTCTGGAATTAGACGATCTCACATATCTCAAAGCGGACCGAATACGATGGATTGAATCATCAACATCTTTCAATCCGTCTTTCACAGTCAAGTTCAATATGTGAGCACAAGATCTCATGTGGAGATGTATACCCTTCAACACACTCCCTTTCCAAATGTTAATCCTTTTCTTCAAATATGTCATGCCCACATCATTCGAACTTGCATTATCCACTGTCACAGTTAGAACCCTATCAATTCCCCAATTAAGCAAGTGTTTTTCAACCTTTTTTCCAATCGTGAGACCCGTGTGATTAGGAATAGGAGAGATGTTGATAATTCTTTTCTGAATTTTCCATTCATTATCAATGAAATGAGCAGTAAGACTCATGTAGTCCAAATGATGTCTACTTGCCCAAATATCAGTCGTGAGGCAAATTCTAATATGTGAATGCTTGAAGTAATTTTTCAACTTCTCCTTCTCGGCCAAAAACAACTTAAAACAATCTTTGGCTATGGTGATCCTAGAAGGGATGTGAAACTCAGGTCTCAACGAATGGACAAAATCACGGAAACCTTCACGCTCGACTTGTCTAAAAGGTGACTCATCAATTATGATCATTCTAGCAAGTTTCATTCTCGAGACAACTGAATCATATGTGTGAGGCACTACAAGAAACTGTACTTTCTGCGACGAATTTTATTGCGACGACAACAAATTCGTCGCAGAAAGTACACTTTTTGCGACGAATTTTACCTTTTCGTCGCACATTGTATCAATATTTAGCGGAAAATGGGCAGATGGATTTGCGACGAATTTGTGCGTCACAGAATGTTGAAAGACTTTTTGCGACGATTTTTTGGCGTTGCAGTATGTCTTGAAACATTTTGCGACAATAGTCTGCCATCGCTGAATGTCTAGAAACATTTGCGACGACTTTTGCCGTCGTCGAAAGTTTGATATATTCAGCGACGATAATGTTTCCGTCACAAATAGGTTGATATATTCTGCGACGACTTTGCTTTGTCGCCGAATGTCTTGAAACATTTTGCGACAATAGTCTGCCGTCACCGAATGTCTAGAAACATTGGCGACGACTGTTTGCCGTCGCAGACTGTTATAAGATTTTTTCAAAATATTTGAGAAGCATTTTTAGAAAAAATATATGTGTACAAATATTGATGATGAAATTGATCCGCTCACCGAGATCAAACGTTGAATGATTTTTGAAAAGGAGGAATAATTAAATGATTAATTTTAGCTAATAATTATTCTTTTATGTTACATTGTTATTTGTTTTGTTTGTGGCAATCAGATAAATAAATATTACCTGTAGAAGTTAAATAACATTTTCTTTGCAGTAGTGTAAGTGGTGACATAGCTGTCTCTTCTACTTTGCCGTATGTGTACAAATATTGATGATGAAATTGATCCGCTCACCGAGATCAAACGTTGAATGATTTTTGAAAAGGAGGAATAATTAAATGATTAATTTTAGCTAATAATTATTCTTTTATGTTACATTGTTATTTGTTTTGTTTGTGGCAATCAGATAAATAAATATTACCTGTAGAAGTTAAATAACATTTTCTTTGCAGTAGTGTAAGTGGTGACATAGCTGTCTCTTCTACTTTGCCGAATTAGAGGTCGCTGCTTCGATTCACAAATAAGTTTTAGTTTTGCATTTTGTATTCAACAGACAAAAGCAGGGGTAACTTTGTACTTTAACTAAAACGCGGTGGCAGGTGCAGTAATTTTTTAGAAGTTTAATGGTAAAATTTTCTTCTTTGGAATGCTATATATTCACATTTTGGGCGGAACAAGAACCCTAGCCGCTCCTTCTCGCTTCTACTTCCACAATTATCCTTTATCTCTTTCCTTCCTTCCTTCCTCTCTGGTTTTCTCGAAAGACAGAGCCAAGACGACCTCTTGGTCCAGTGGTGACAGCTCGCCGCCGTTGGTGACTCTAATGATGAGGAGTCCAGGAGATGTAGGCGGAGTGGTGGTTCGACAATCGGCCAAACGGAGCTTTATAGATCTGCATCTCTCTCCGTCGCCGACCACCAGTTGTAGAAGCCTTGATTGGATATCGCCTTTTCAGATCTGCCTCTCGATTTGGAAACAGGACCATTCGAGACCGATCCTTAGTCGATCTCTCTCGTCTTTTCGAGGTAAGATCGTCGCATTCAGATCTGTTTGCTTTTTTTTCGTTTTTTTTTTTTCAAGGGGGATCTGACTTGCTTTTATTCGCTTAATTTTTTGGTTTATTTTTAACTCCGATGAGGGGATCTAAAATTAAAAGTCGGCGACGGCAGTGAGAGCATCGGCGTCCAAAAACGACGAGCTGTTCTGCCGGCAAGGAGCAACCACCGCTGAGAGGTATCACGACATTTTTTATTGGTTAATTATTTTGTTTTTAGTTTTTACAAATTCTGATTAATTCTTTATGCAGGTTCGGGATGAAGGAGGCTTTGATGATATTCTCTAAACCCTTGGCTAGGATTAGGGTGTTTAAATCTGTATTAGGACACGTGGATTTAATGTTGGAACTGGTAGTTTGGCCAATCTCAGGGTAATCTGAGGCTTTCTGGTTTTATGAGGTGATGAATTGATTTGGACAAGAACATTAATTTGAAATAACTCAAAAAATGAACCAGAAAATAAATTATCAGCTTTATTTAAGTGAAACCGAAAACATGTCATCATTAGGCGACGAAGAGATCTCCTTAGGAAGTTGCATTGGTGGAGTCATCGATGGGATTGCTACTCGCTTCATCTATATCCTGCCATTATAACCAATTTTAAAGTAATGAGAGACAAAGTGATGGTAAGTTCCGAATATACTGCTGCAACCAGCTGCACCTAAAACTATTATCTAATTGAACACCAGAACAGGACAATCCCTTCCTAGTCCCATATATACTTATGAACTGATGTAGCCTAAGATTACATGCGACAACTACTTTTCTATATTTCTTCAGTCAAACAGAACCACTTGCAAGAATGGACCCTGTTCTGGCCGCCCCTCTGTATTCGAGATCCAGCGGATCAATTTCATACACTATGAATGAATGCACTGAACACTTGCACGGAGAGAAAGGGAGAGAGAGAAGAGAGCAAAAACAATACTACAAGATTCCAAAAGGGCACTAGATTTGTTTGGAGGGACATCTTATGACTCTCTTGTTCTGTTTCCATGCGTCACCCACCCATTACCACTAGACAAACCAATTAACTACATCATCAGTCTAATATTACCTCTTCTCATTCAAACATTAGCAGCAAACAAACTGAACATATGTCTAATGTGATCATCAGTCAAAACCCACCTGAAAACAGGGGTGAAAAACAGTAAACTAATCTAAGTCTGGGAAAAAAGAAAAATACACCTCAGAATTGAAATTCTCAGTGGCAGCAGCAAACCCAAAGGAGAACCAGTATATAGTATACCAATTGAGGTTGATAAGGTGCAGTTCTAGCTACCGACCGCAAAACTCTAACCTCCCCCATCAAGACGGGAAGAAAAGTACCTTATAAGTTCAAATTACCTCCGCAATAATGATAACGCAAAAGGAAAACCGAACACTAGAAAAGAAAATGATCATCTCTTTTGCGAATTCCCCTACTACGAATGTTTAGTTTTGAGATTCAATCACCAAGTCCAGACAGTTGGAAGATAAGTTACTTACCTACACAAACATAGCGAATGCAACTATCATGCAACTATCATAATCCAGTAAAACAGGATCCAATGCCAAGTGCTAAGCTAAATCAAACCCTCCGAGATAGAGTAATTCCAATGAAAGACCACCAAAGCGTCAGAGGCTTACATTCTACTGGTCGGCTTCTTCTCAGCTCAGGTAACAAAATCAGAATTACGAACAACAAGGGCCCAATTAAGCTCCCAATCAATCTTTACTTCCAAATTCAATGAATACGAGCTAGCAAGAATAAATTATAGGAAAAAGAGCTATAAGGGATATCATAGACATGGATATCAGAAACAGTACCTAGCTAGCTACCAAGGTGGCTGCGTGTTCTCTTCCTCCTCCTCCTTCCACTTGCCGCTAGCTGCTTTATTACAAGTCTCTATCAGAAACTGCAGACTATTTTTAGGATATATTGCCCTCAGTGGCAAAACATCAAACACCTGGTAGACGCAGATGAAAACCCAGGTGAGCAATTGAAAGAATAGAAGAAAACCCAGGTGAGCAATTCAAAACACGAAGGCCACAGAGTATATACCTTGAACACGAGTTACGAAAGCTATCTACCCTGCAAAGGAGTGAACAAGAACCAGGTAAGCAATTGAAGCACAAGGGAATCGAGAACTAATCAGAAACCAGGATCTGCGCGACTCACCTCGATGTTGGTTCCCAGTCGACTCTGCTAGATGATCAGAGTAGTTGAAGACAATCGACCTTGAGATCGGAGCACGAAGATTGGGCTGGACGCCGGACGACAGTTGATAACGATGTAATTGCACATATTTGCGTCCCTAGTTCTTATCCGTTTGAGAGGCATAGTCGTGTATTTTGGCCTATTTTACGCCGGGTTGCGCTATTTTGTCATATTTCAGGTCCCAGGCGTCAAAGGGAAGGCTAAGCACGAGTTTCGGGGCATTCGGAAGTCATTTCGTCGAGCTGGAGCCAAAACACAGGCAGACCTAAAACAGAACACGGCCGTGTTCTGTGACCGTGCTTTTACTGCCGAGAGCAAATTCGAGTTTGGCAAATATTGGCTAAAAACACGGGCTGAAAGCACGGCCGTGTCAACCAAAGCACGGCCGTGTCCTCTCCAAAACACGCCCGTGTTTCCCCCAATGCACTGGCCGTGTAATTAACCCTAGCCAAAGCACGGGCGGGCTGAGGCATTACACGGCCGTGCCCTCGACCGTGCTTTGGCCACTGATGCCCTTTTAAGCAGATTTCAGCCAAAACAGAAGGGGATTCGAGTTTTAGAGAGACAGAGCGATTCCTAGAGAGAGAAAGCGACGAACAAGAGTCTCCAAGTGCCCTAGCTTGATCTTCATCACCATTGGAGGCCAGTTTGAGTTTGGAGAAGTGCCGATCAACATCCAGAAGCAGGAATCCATCCTTCACAGTATGAATTCCGCGTCTGATTCTGCTTTTGCTTCTTTCTCCATGGAGTAGTTCTCCCATTCATATGGGTATGGAGAACCCTAGATTTGTATGTTAGGTTTGATTGTATGAACCCAAGTACTGATTCTATGATTTGATTATATTCGATTGAGGTTTGATTGATTGAATGACTTGAATCCTGATCAAATTCCTGTTGTTTCTGCTTTAACCTAGAATGAGAATATCTGCCTAGGTTGATAGAGCATCCTTGATTGAAGGTAGGGAGTTGGTGACTTTAGTCGAGGAGCCAACTCACTATTCTGTACCGGATTTACTCCGGTAGTGGAGGTTTTGTTTGTTAAAGCCTCAATCTGTGTTACTCCGGTGGAGGTTAGTCGCCCGCTAGAGACTCAGATTGAGAGGGTCTGAAGACCTTTAGTCGAGACTTCAGCCTGTTTAAGAACCTTCCGCAGTATAACTATCATAGAAACTGAACTTGGTAATTACAATCCGGCTTAACTGCAGTCTAGGGGGAACCATATCCGGGTGACCTCTCTTAACTTGAATACAACCGTTTACTTGCTTTGTTAGTTTGTTAGTTTATACTTGCATTAAAGTTTCATTGCTAGATAACAAGAATTCACTGAGTAGTCATCAAATCTAGGACCCGGGTTGATAATTAAACCTAAACCCGCTATACTACGCTTTAGGAAGTGGTTACACTTGGCCAATTCCTAGGGTGACAGTAGAAGTGAGTCAAGTTTTTGGCGCCGTTGCCGGCTAGGTTGTTGAAGAAAAGTGATTTCTGTTAATTTAGCTTTTCTTTTTGCTTTGTTTGCTTTATCCCACTTGTGCCTTCACGGGTTTGCTTGCTTGAGTGTGTGCAGGTAGTGCATGACCCGTAGCCAGTCGGGAGGTTTACTGCCGTTGAATCCAGAGATTGGCGCCACCCGTCGCCAACTCAGGAGACAACAGCGAGCTAGACTGGCTACGGAATAGCGCCTAGACGGCCACTTGAGTAGCGATTCTGAAGAAGAGTATGGGATGGACGGAGACTACAATCAGCACCAGGGGAATCCGCAGCAGGTACCCCGGTGAATCAGGTCCTGGGGAACAACCCCATACCCCAGGATCATGGGGTTCATCATCCACCGCAGCCGGGTCCCACCTTGGAGTACTACTACACTCCTCGGATTGCTGACATCCGCCCGGTCATCCTCTACCCGCCTATTCCAGCAAATAACTTCGAGATCAAGCCATGCTGGATTCAGCTCATTACATCCTCTATCCAGTTCCATGGCTTGAAGGATGAGGAGGCCAGGGTGCATCTTTCCCGTTTTCTGCAGCTGACAAACGGGTTCAAGCTGAATGGTGTCCCGGATGATGCAATCCGCCTTCATCTTTTCCCCCATTCTCTGGCGGGGAATGCTAAGAGGTGGTTGGAGACCCAGCCCCCATTGTCCATCACCTCTTGGGACGATCTGGCTGACAAATTCGTGCACAGGTACTATCCGGCATCGAAGACTACCGAGATCTAGCGGGAGATCACTCACTTCCGCCAAGAGCCAGATGAGTCACTTCGTGATGCATGGGAGCGGTACATGGGATATTTCTGGCAGTGTCCCCATCATGGCTTTAGTGATGCATTCACAGTGGGGAACTTCTACAGTGCTCTCTCTCCAGACAGCCAGAGGGTGATTGAGTCTCTATGCCCAGGAGGGGATGTTCTTACTAAGACTCCACCAGAAATGAACCAGATGATTAATACTTTGGCTGCCAGAGATCATTCCTGGGGACAGAGCAGCAGAGGCAGACAGTCCCGGGACCGTGGTGTGCACGCCATGGAGACCAGATCCGGGCTCGTGCAGCAGATAGCAAAGCTAGTGCAGACATTGAAGCAGCCCAACAGTCTTATTCCGGGCAGAGGTTTGGCTACACCTCCAGTTGCTCAATGTCAGTGGTGTGAGAGCTCGAATCACTTAGTGGAAGACTGCCAGGCTATGAGGGAGTCTACTACTCCCCAAGAGCAGTTGGACTTCATCGCCAATGCTCGGTCCCTCGACCCGTACAGCAACACCTATAATGAGGGGTGGCGCCAGCATCCCAACTTCTCTTGGGGCAGCAACACCACTAAGCCAACTGGTTTTCCAGCAACAGCTGGTGGCTTTCAGCAGAGGCAGCCCTTCAAGGCTCGACAGGGGCCAGCCCCACAGCAGCAGCCCTACCAGCCTCGATAGGGGCCAGCCCCACAGCAGCAGCCCTACCATCCTAGGCAGGGGCACCCATTCCAACAGCCCCAGCGCCAATTCGCCGAGCCAGCAGCAGCTCCAGCTCTAGTTACTCAGATAACGAAGCTGGAAAATATTCTAGCTTCATTCATGACTAGCACTCAGGCAGCTATCACGTCACTAGAGGCAGGTCAGAGGAACCATGGTGCCATCTTGCAAGATCTGCAGAACCAGGTGGGTATCTTGGCCCGCTAGAACACCACCAGGGCACTGGGGACTTTGCCTGCCACCACTGTTCCGAATCCTCGTGATCCTAACCAGCTCCAGCAGCTTGATGCCATCACTACCAGGAGTGGTAAGACCACATCAG